AGGGCAGGGTAGCAGGAGAAGCTGACATATATCGAGTTTCAGCACACCAACAAAAACCGATTCCCCGGGTGCAGCATGCCAGCTGAGCAGAGGGGAAAACACCTGTGGAAGTTGAAGCAACTAGCTGATTCCCCGGTCTTTTTATGTTTAATTAATTTATTTATATAGTTGCTTTATATGCACTTATCTGTGCGCCACATGTGTTCAGAGCCCAAGGAAACCAAAGAGGGTGTTGGATCCCTTGGGACTGGAGTTACAAGCAGCTGTGAGCTGCCTGGTGGGTGCTAGAAACTGAATCTTCTTCCCCTGGAAGGGCAGCCTGTGCTCTTGTAGTTTGCTTTTCGAGACAGGGTTTCTCTGTGTAGCTTTGTAGACCAGGCTGGCCTCGAACTCACAGAGGCCTGCCTGCCTCTGCCTCTGGAGTGCTGGGATCAAAGGTATGCGCCACCACCACCCCACTTGTTTTTGTTTTGAGACAAGGTCTCCCTACGAAGCCAGCTGTCCTGAAACTTGAACTTACAGAATTCCTGTTTGCTAAGTATGGCACACGTATGGATCTGCCTTGAGTGCTGGGATGAAAGTCGTGTGCCACCAAACCTGGCCCATTTGCTGTTTAAATACATGACTTTCTGTAAGTAAAGTTTTCCAGTAGAACCTAAAGTCTAAGAATAATCAAGGAATGAAAAACCAGAATTCAAGACCACTTTTCCATAACCTGGATTTTTCTTCTTGGGATAAGGCCTGATCGCATGATCCAGGCCAGCCTTGAACTCACGGTCCTTCTGCTCAACATCCTGAGTGCCAGGATCACAGACTTTGAAGTCTGGGTTCACTGGCTCTGTGATCCCACAGCTCTGTTCCCCTGTCAGTGCCGTGAGCGCTCTTGGTTCCTCTCATGAGCGTGTCTCTATAATTTAATGAGTTCACAAGCCTCACTGTGGGCCAGCACAGCGCTGGAGGTAGGAGACAGCAGTGGCCATTCCTTCCCAGCACCAAGACCACAACAACCGATGGCCACTCCACTCTCCAGAATCGTCTGTTGCCATGCACCGGCCAGAGCCGGAGCCATGCTGTCGCCCTTGGGAACTGCACAGACGTGTTGCGGCAGTGGACGCACCAGTGTGCTGGCTGACACGACAGGATAGTGTCCTGCCATGTAGCCAGAGCAGTCACCATATAGACCAGGCTGGGCTCAAATTCATAGAGATCAGCTCGTCTCTGCTTCCCAAGTTCTGGGATTAAAGACATTGGTCACTACTCTCAGTTTGGAGAGCCTGAACTTCAAACTGATTTGTCCAGCCCCAGCCTAGAGTAGGAGGGTCTGCCTGAGAACTGTCCAGATGGAGAACACTAGCTCCACTGTGGGTAGAGGCTGACCTGATGAGGTCACAGCCCAGCAACCTCCATGTGATTATTAATCTTGTGACACCCCCCCCCCCAAGCTCTGGTCATTCATTTATGGCAAGGCCAAAGTCTGGTCAAAGTAGCTGAGGCTGCTTTGAGTTGTTAGGGTGAGGGTTGTTGTTTTATTTTTTTGTGTGTAGTTGTTTTCTTCTGCAGAAATCACCTCCTCCCTGCAAGTCCTTCCTCCTATGGCTCCGGCCCTGACCATTGCTGTGCACAGGGTTCAGGCTGGAGTGAGGCTGTGAACACTCTGCTCTTTAATGCAATCCTAACCCTCTTCTTCCCCTGAACTTTGAGTTCTAGCTACAGATTTTAAGTCCTGGGCTCTATGCTCTCAGCCTGGATCTCAGCCCAGGTTCTTGAACCCACACTCTGAATTGTGCTGCTCACTGTGTGTCTGGGCCCCAAAGTCTGAACCCCCGAGGGCCAGCTCTGGTTTCCCATCTCTGAGTCAGGTTTTGTTTAGACTTCAGGTTCTGATTCCAGGTGCGGGGTGGACTCTGTGTTCTGGGGGTCCAGTTCTGGTTCTGCTCCACAGGCTCCAGGTTTTAAACTGAGTTCTAGTTCCTTCAGCAATAGAGAGGGGGTGTGGTGGCCCCTGACTGATGAGGTTATCCCTGTCTGCTCATCTTTGCTGGGGAACTTGGGCTAATGGCCAGCATCCTGGCTGGCCGGAAGGTGGGCACTGCTTCTATGGCATTCTCCCTTCCACCCTTTGACTCTTTGTCCCCTAGACAAGCATGCTAAAGTGGCCGCAGAGCAGCCTTGTTGAGACCTTACAGTTTTCATGGGCATTTCCTGAACATTCGTGTTTCTTGACCTCTTCCCCAGAGTTGTGTAGGGTGCTTCTCATGATCGGCATCTGACTCAATGGCACCAACCATGTTTGCTCCCCCTCACCGGGCCCTTTGTCTCCCTGTGGAAACGAACTCCAGCTTCTGCAGCCCTCAGAAGCCAGAATCACCTGACTACCTGCCCAGGCCCCCTACAAGGGTAAGGGGTGGCTGACCCAGCGAGCAAAGTTCTCTGCTGTGTGTGCTTTTCGTCAGCAGGGGCTCCAGGTGAACAGCCAGTGCCTCTGCCTGCCTCCACACAGACCCAGATCTAAGGTCACCGAGTGACAGCATACCTTCTGCCAGCCTGAGGAGCTGGAGAAGAGCAGGAGAGAAACAGCAAGGTTGTCTGCCATTGTCTTGAAGCACAAGCATAGGTACCCTGAGCATTCTCAAGAGAGTCCTGGCTGTTTCTTTAGTCCAAGTCCTCTGTAGGGAGGGTACTGTCTGGATGTAAAGTTGGTAAAAAGTAAAAAATGTGTGTTCTCTTCCTTATACTATATGCTGGGTGGATGAGGTCCACACCCCTCATGGCCTCCCTCCTCGGGAGGTAATCAGCTCTGTTACCACCTTGACTGAGCACCCTTGAGTCAGTGGTCAGTGGCTGTGAAATATAGCCCATGGGTTAATGAGCTAGTGACAGGAGGCTGTGAGTCTGGGTTCCTCTTCCTGAAGATGAGGTCTGGCTAGGCTGGCAAAGGCCCAAGACCCGAGGGTTCGAACAATGAAGCAACTGAGAGAAAGGGACACCTCATACCAGCTCTTGTGGAGCTCTGTCCGCCAGGCATAGCATGCCACGGCCATCTTGATATCAGAATAACTGGCTACTCACACAAGGCAGCTCGTGTGGTCGCCCACAGGGAGTCCCCAAGTATCCCACAAGGCACATGAGGCCACTCTGCTCACAAGGGTATTAAATCTTTCGTGTTGTGGGAAGGCTCTGTTTTAGCTTGAGGTACCCACACTCCTGTAAGGAAGACTGTTAAACTCAAGTGGTCATGAAGATAGACTCATTCTATCAGTTTGTTATTGGTACCCTGTCTCACATGAATAGACGTTTGCTCATTTCTCCCCAAGAAAAGTCTCCAAGGTTATTTGACAAGGGCAGAGCAGAGAGGATTATGGTAGAAGGGCATACCAGCCAGCCAGCTGGGCCAGGGGTGACAATGATCTCAAGTCCCCAAAGAATTACTAGGTTCTGCCAAGGATGGCTGTCCCGCAGAAATAAAGATTGACTCTCGGGAGTTCCTTATGTAATGAAATTATTCAAAATTGCATTTGTGAGAAAATTAAAGCTAAACTGAAAATCATCTTTGACCAGTATTCCCAATCCTGATATAATCCTGGTACCTCTCTTAATCGCCTTGATCAGTTTTATACTTATAGATAATTCTCTCCTTTCTGTACATTTGTAAGTGCGTTTGTGTTTTATATACAGATACAGTATGGCTGGAATGTGTCTACGAAATACTTATATTGGGAATTTGGTCCTTAGTGAAGCAGTGTTGAATGGTGGCCTTTAAATTTTTTACTCTTTTTCTCCTTTGTTTTTCAAGACAGGGCTTCTCTGTGTAGCTCTGGCTGTCCTGATGCTCACGGACCCCCTTGGCAGTCTGGGATAGGAAAGTTATTTTAGTGAAAGGGACTTGCCTTTCCTACCCCCACTCCCTGCCCACACACCCAAGTGCTAGGCGGTACCCAAAGCCCGCTGTCCCTTCATGTTTTGCTGAGCCTATTCCAGACTGCCAAGGTGGTCAGTGAAGCAGACTTCTTGTAGTTGCAGATGGTAGAAAACAAGCCAACATAATTTGGGATTAAAATTAAAATAGTTATCTTTATGTTTATGCATATGGGTGGTTTTGCCTGCATGTCTGTCCAGATACTGTGTGTACAGTGCTCATGAAGGCCAGAAGCGGATGTCACACCCCGGGGAACTGGAGTTAAAGATGATTGTGAGCTGCCAGGTGGTGCTGAGAATCAGTCCCAGGTCCTCTGAAAGAGCAGCCAGTGCCCTGAACCACTCAGCATCAACCTCCAGCCCGGGGTTACCATTCTTATCAGAGCAGCTTCAGACAACACCTCTGAATCAAACTCTGCCCATGCAGCAGGACCCTGAAACCCCAAAGGAAGGCAGGGTGGGTCAGCGTGCCCTGTTGATCTACCCCACGGGCGGGTTTCAAGGGTGATTGGATGAGCAGGGAGAGCAGGAGGAGGTCCTGGTGGAGGCATCCCTCAGTGTGTAGGGCTCTGCCCTACACACTCAAGGCTCCTCGCTTCCTCTCAGCACTCACCTTCCGGGTGGGGGGGCACGTTGGGCTTCTTCACTCCCCACCTTTCCTGCCTGCTCAGAGGTGGGGTACCACCCAGCCAAGCAGATGAAGAGAATGCCTAGTCCCACATATAAGCTTTCCATGCACCCTAAGGAGCCCTCGATAATGTATGCAGAGATACAGTGGATCCCTGATAGCACAGGGACAGCAACAAAAGTGATGCATTCCTGTCCAGGGACACTGGAGCAGCTGGGGGACAGCAAAGGCAGCTGTAGAGGACATGGCTCTCTCCCTCCCCATCTCTTTCCCACCCTCCCCTCCATCCCCACCCCCCTCCTCCCCCTCCCTCCCTCCCCTCCCCCTCCCTCTCTATACCTCCTATATTCCATGTCTCAGGAAGAGAGAGTCTGAAAACAAAGTCAGGAGGTATACACTTCCTGGTCTTGGTGACCGGCAGTGGGCTACCGGTAGAGAGGCACACAAGAAACACACCTCACAGCTGAATAATAATAATTATTATAACAATATCATACATCCAGGACAAACCCAGCTGCCCCAAGCCAACCATAAAATCCTATGTACAGTCTACGTGAACGGAGGGAGGGGCTACCCACCAGCACGCCCAGGGTTTACTTATACCAGCTTTAAGGAGGGGCCAGCCCCTCCTCCTGCCCCCTGCTAAAGCTTAGAACGAGCTGAGGACGCTGGCACTGCCAAAGTCACCCCCTTTGTGTTCAGTATGCTTATGCCAAGAGCCTAGGCTGGCCTCTCCCTGATGGGCTAGCTGTAAAGAATGGGTGGAAGAACCTACGAGAGCGGGTGGCTCCTCTGAGTTCCCCTCACACCCCTTCCTGGCTCCTCCTGTGGGCCTGCCCATAGCAGAGAGGGGCCAGGGACACTCAGGGTACAGACAGGGCAAGCAGAGAGCATGCTTGGTGTGCCCAGGCACCATGCAGCCAGCCTGGACTGTTACACAGGCGTCAGAGGGCGGGCAGCGGAGTCCAAGGGGCCCTCTCCCTGCTTCAGTCTATGGCGGAGCCTCCTGGGAGCCCGGCCTTTGGGAAGGAAGCTGCAGAAATTCTGGAAGTACCAGGTCCTCTTTGCGAAGAAGTCCCCTCTGGTCATGGGCCCCACTGCTCTGCACGCGGTTCAGCAGCTCCACCAGGCCTGGGGGCAGCCACGGAGTCAGAAGGCCCACATGGCCAGAGCACCTACGCTAATACTTCATTCTGCTGCCTGCTCTGACCACAGCCTGACCCGACCATCATATATTCCAGCTCCAAGGGTCCTTAGCCCCAGCCTTAGCGCATGCCTCCGATGCTGCCCTCGGTGATGGTGAACCCCTTCCCTCATCCCTCTGATCCCGTGGCCCCCACTGTCCCCACAGTGCACCTTCAATGTCACAGGTCTGCCGTTTCCCAGTAGAGCTACTGGCGTCTTCCACCAGCAAACTGGGGGGCAGTGGAGGAAGACGACTGTCCTTGTCCTGGGTTCTAGGCAGGCATCCCTGCAAGAAAGTGGGGTTAAGTTCACAACCAGGAGGGAGAAAGCCGAAGGTGGAAAGAGGCCGAGGTTTCCGGTTACCTGGCTGCGGCAGGGGGATGTGCTGCTGGCTTCACTCATCTTAGCATCTACAATGGAGAGCACCACTGTTGGGTTCGGCCTTCCGCTCACAAGCCCCGCCTCCTGTGCCAGAGCCACACTGGGAAATCAAGTCCCAGGGTATAAACATCCCTTACCTGGAAGGATGTCCAAAACCAGTGTCTGTGAGGCCACTGAGCTCACTAGCTTCTCCAAATCCAGCAGTTGCTTCTCCCCTGACTACAGAAAGAGGTTACCAGCCTGTGAGCCAGACCACAAAACCTCCCCACCCACCCCCTTCCCCACCCAGATCCATAGCTTCGTCGTCGCTCACCCGATGCAGAACCACTTGATCCAAGCTCAGGCCATGCTTTGCCAGGATGGGCTGCAGCGCCTCCTGCAGACGCTTGGAAGGCTTAGCTGAGATCCTCACCACACGCTCCAGGTTAGCTAACTCCAGCCTGTACAGGAGCCTAGAGCTGCGGAGTGGTGGAGACCCAGGGGGCCCCTCTCCCCAAAACAAGGTTCAGAGCTGAATGGGCAGTTTGGGGGTGGGGCTTTAGCCTGTGGGTAGAGCTCCCAGATCAATGGATGAGACCTGAGACTTGGGACAGCTGGAAGACAACCAAACTTTGGGGTAGGGCACTCACTGGAAGGTGATCCTGCTTTCCAGCCGCACTTCCTGGTCTGCCAGCACTGTGCAATCCTGATCCAGAACCAGGGCCTTCTGCGGATGCCAGGCAGGGTCTAAGGATCCCTCCCTCCACCCCAAGTCATCCCCTTTGCTTCCTCAGGTGGTTTCTGGAGTGGTACCCTAAAGATCAGATGCACTAGCCCCTGGGTAACAGAAGCCTAGAGAGGCAGATGGGGGAAGGACCGGCCAGCAGGGTTAGCCTGAGGAGACCAGGACCAAGGGATCATAAGAGTGGAAGATGCCCTGGGCATGGTGGCATGGTGGTGTATGTCTTTATTCCCAGCACTGTACTTCAGAGACTGGAAGAATTCAAGACCAGCCTGGGATAGATAACAAGTTCCAGGCCAGCCAGGACTACACAGGAAGACCCCCCCCCCTGAAAAAGGAGGGTGGGGGCACCTGGGAGGAGAGGAGGGAGGGAAAACTGCAGTCAGAATGTCAAACAAATGAAAAACAAAGTTAATAAAATAAAAGGAAAGGCAAAAGGAGGAAAAGAAAAGGGAAGAAGGAAGATGCTTGGGAAGTGGAGGGAGGCTTGGGGAAGGATCCCTTAGGGGAAGCAGGGGGAGGGGCTTGCATGGCGCAGGTTCTTCCCCTCTCCAGCACCTGTTGTTAGCCACCTGGACCTTGTCTCTTGCCTCCTTAATGCCCAGGTCGGCCCCCTGCCCCTGCGCACACAAATCAGACCAGGAAGATGAAAAGCACGTGGTGTGGTCCCAGCACACAGTAGGTACACAGACAAGGCTGCCGTCTGCACCAGCCTAAGACTTGGAGCTGGAGGGCTTAAAAGGGAGTGGGGGACGCTCCCAGACGGTAGGCCTGGCTGCGCCGCGGGGACAGGTGGGTTGTGGGTGGTGAAGTTATATTTAGCGGGCACAAAAGCCCATCCGGGCTGTTGGCAGCTGTTCTGGTGGCCTAAGAAACTGGGCAGACTCCCTCCCATTGCTGCCCCACCCCCACCCCCACCCCCACCTAGGTCCTGCAAACACCCCCTTCCCTCCCTCTGCCTGGAAGTCCTCCTCTGCAGTTCTCCAGACCCTCTGCTCTGGCCTCTTCAGCTGCTGCCTATCAGGAAACCTTCCGACAGACATGCCTGCCTTCCCTGGAAGGCTCACTCTGGAGGTTTGACCCCTGACTGCCTCTTGTCTGGCTTATCTCCAGCCTGTGCCTAGTAGACACAGCCTGGGCTCCAGTTCTGATCACATGCCTTGCCTACCTCTTGCGGTTTGAATACATTCCTGTCCCTTCCACTGGGACGGCTCAGGGGTTAAGGGCACTGGCTGTTCTTCCACAGGTGGGTTCAATTCCCAGCACCCACATGGAGGCTCACAACTGTCTGTGACGCCGGGTCCAGGGGACCTGACTCCTTCACACATAAAATGAATTTAAAGAGTTAAATGTTCACTTGCACTTAAAGGAGGCGTTCAAGGGTTAGGTTCATTGCAGACTTCTGATGGCAAAGGTAAGTCCCCCAATGGCAACTTTAGGGGTGGGCCTGTGGAGATGACAGCATGAACTGTGGGAATGAACTGTGGGAATGGAGGGGACTCCCCATTCTAGCATTACCTCCCTGAAACCATGAGAGTAGGGTGATAGGCAAAGCTGGGGACCAGGACGTGGGGTGGGTTTTGTGTGAGTGGGTATCTGAGAGTGAATGATGAGTTGGCGCTGGCATCCATGTGGACTTAGACACGGGGGTTGGAATAAGGTAGGGAGGGGGTGATGATAGAGAATGGTGTTAGAGTCAGGGTGGCCAGAAGATTAGGAGAAGGGAGGCTTGAGCTGAGGCCAGATCGTGCTCACACCTGTTCGTTGCCCACCAGGTAGACTTTGATGTCAGGCAGAGAGAGGCCTCTCTTCTCGCAGATTCCTGTCAGCATGTCTCTGATGGTGAGGCCTGGTCGAGCCAGCGCCAAGGAGGCTGTGCCATCAGGCAGATACACGCAGCAGTACTTCCCTGGCCGGCTTTCTCTCTCACCCTCTCCACTCCCAAGGCTCTTTCGATGGCTCTGGGCAAGAGCAGACAGAGGCTGTATGTACACCAGGGCGCTATACGCTGTCTGGAACACATACGTGTACACACACGTGCAAGGGGACACTTGGAGGCAAGCGCAGATATGTCTTGCTCCAGGGACAGAGGCATGCACGCTCAAACATGCGGACACTTAGCCGTGGTGGCACATTTGATCCTAGTACCCGGAAGCAGAGGCAGGCAGACCTCTGAGTTTGAGGCCAACCTGGTCTGCAGAGTGAGTTCTACAACAGCCAGGGCTATGTATAGAAAGCCTGTCTCAAAACAAAAATAAACGTGGGCACTCAGGGAAAGCTCCACTAACTAACCACACACACATCATGCAGGGTACACGTAGGCACCCACACGTGCACACACACTACCAGACAGGGTGTATTCCCACGGCCTCTACAGAGACCACTATATCGAGCATGGGAAGAAAGGTAGGGAGAGGCGATGGCTTTGAGGAGTAAGCTAGGAGAGGAAGTGTACACATCCACTGGGGATGCTGGGAACCCATGAAGGCAAGTGGCAGTGGTCCCAACAGAAAGGCCCCTTGCTCCCCTCAAATGCCGCTCACCTCAGATTTGCTGCTGCTCACAAAGGCCAGGAAGCCCAGGTCCAGACTGGCAGAAGAATTCAGGGACCCCTGAGATTCTCGCCGTGGAGCTAAGTTCACTGCTCCACCCGTCATCTCTAAGGGGAAAGTCAGCCATGAAGCAACTTTCTCTGGTAAGACCCTCCCATTTGATGGGCCTTGTTTGTAGCCATCCTGCAGGGACTTAAAGTGCATGGGTCCCTGGGCTTGTCGCTGTAGGGGGGGGGGCAGGTGGTCTCAAGAACCTACATTTTGGGGTTTGGGTTTTGCCCTCTTGCAGACTGTGGGTCAAGTATGGAGGGGGCGTTCCCAACATTGGCCCAAACGTTGTGGCCACACCATTTCTAGGGCCGGCCTCACCTCTACGAAAGGACTTGCGGAGAGGGCGGCCACAAGGGCCCTCAGCAAGCGGCAGCTGCCCCAACTCCTCCACGCCCACCGGCAGCGACTTCCCAGGCTTCAGCTTCGGCTTCTGAGGGTTCAGGAAGACTCTAGTGCATAGCAGGGTCCTAGCCCAGCACCGGGATCTAGGCCTGGGGAAGACCCTTCCTGAGACTGTCCGCAGTCCCCACCCAGCCTCCTGCCACCCCTGTCCGCACCTTCCTCGAGGTGTCGGGGCTCCCCAGGCGCGAGGAGCCAGGTTCCCGCAGCGGGCGTCCCTCGGCCTCGGCCAGCAGGCACTCTTGGTACAGCGGGGATTTGACGAAGCGCGCATAGCTGTCGAACTTCATCAAATTGAAGATCTGCTTGGCCAGCGGGTGTGGATGGCGATTGGCAACAGGAGAGGAGAGTGGAGGGCTGGATGGGGGGTCCTGCGTGCACCTCTTGCGTCCCAGGGCTTGCCCTGGCCAGCTCAAGTAGGGAAGCCCCAAACCCTGCCTCCTTAGTCCCCCTCATTCATCCCACCCCAGACCATCGTCGCTTTCACCGTTGCTCCCGTCCTGGCCCTGCATTTAGCTCTGGTTCTGCATCCAATTTTGCCCCTTCCCCTTGGGCTCGGACTGCATCCCAGCATCTGGTCCTGATGGGCGGCTCACTGGTCTCCCCTCTCTGCCTGGCCTTGCCCCTTGGCCCCCTCACCTGAAGCTGCTGTGCTCGAAACATATCGGGCCTGGGCTGGGCCAGCACCTCTTCACTAAGCCAGGCCTGTCGGTCGATGTTCACCGGGCTCAGCGCCTGGCTGGACAGGAACTCATGGTAGATATTATGGGCCTCCTGGGATAGCTGGGGAATGAGGGACCGGAGGTCAATGGGCATGTCCCGGGCTCTGGTCCCCACCCCCCTGTCCCAACTTTCTTCTCCACCTGCTTGGTGTCACTGGCTGGGATCTGCTGGAAACGCTCACAGGCTTTCCAGAAAGTTACGTTCTCTGCGCTGAATTCCTTCTTCAGGAACTCCTGGCAAGAGGAGAAAGGGGAAGAAAGGCTTCAGATGCACCGGCTGAATCAGGGGCGTATTCAAAGCCTGGGACAGACACGGGGCCAAGAGACCAGACAGACAGACAGATGGTGCCAGATCACCGAAAGGAAATGAGAAGCAGAGATGAGGACAAGGAGAAGGAAGAGTTCCCAGCTCGTCGGTGAGGGGAAGGATGCCAAAGGCAGGCTAGACGAGGGACCACAGAGGGATACAGCATTCTGACCACCCCAAGCCCTGTGTGTGCCTTCTCCAGAGCCCCCACCTCCTGCCTCTCCCCCGCTCCCCCCCCCTTACAGTGAAGTAAGCCAGACCCAGTGGGTCTTGCAGCAGCCGCTCAAAGGATAGGGCCCAGCTGGCCACAGGCTGGTCATCTGTGGAGAAGGGGCTGCTGGGGCCACTGGGGAGGCTGTGGATGCTGAGGGAGCTGCCTCGGCCCTCACTCTGGCCCTGGGAACCTGCTGTGCTGGTCAGTTCTGCAGAGAGATGGACAAGCTTTTTCCTTCCTCAGCCTTTAGCCCAATACCCATTTCAAAGCATCTACACTTCAGGGTCATCACCTGAATGGCCAGCAAGTGACCAGGAGTGTCCCCGCTCCCTTCCATCCCCTCCTCCCTCTGTCCCTCCCTCCCAGCCATGCCTCATTCACATATGCTATCACTTACCTCCATCAGAGACAGCCAGAACCTAGGAGAGACCCAAGGCAGAAAATCAGGATAGAGCTCTAAAAGGCGTCCCAAGACACCACACTGGGCCCAGCCTCCAGTGAGCTGGAACCATATTTTCGTTCTGCAGAGTCAGGCTGAATGTCTTCAGATAGTCACTACTGGCTAGGGCTTCCAGCAGGCTGTCCTGGCCCTTTCCCATCATGTGCCAACTACCGTGTGCTGGAACCTCCTCAGGGAACTACTTTCTAGTGGCCCTTGGCTTCCTTCTCTCTCAGACCTTCATAGTGAATCCAGGTATGCGTAGACTTGCCTCTGCCAGGTACTGTTCGTATGAATTGGGCACATGGCTTGCTTATTGGCTCCTATCTATAAATAAGGGGCGGTGTGACAAATGATAGCCTTCCCCCCCCCCCCCCCCCGGGAACTGTGTACACTGCATTTATAACCCTGACTATGGTACAGTAAGGGCCACACCAGTCTTGTCCTGTTCCTGTAGCTAATTGCACGTGTTTCTCCTTGGAGTACTCAACCTCGGGCATGGCATAGGAGGCTATTTTTGTGGCAAAGAGTATCGTCCATCAAACTTTAGCAGAACAGTGGCCAGGAGAAACTCCTCTGGCATTCGAGCTGTGGAGATCCAGGGTGGGACTGGAAGCTCTCCATTTCTGACAGGCTTCTGGGCAATTCTGGTGCTGGTTCAGGGGCTATGACTTGAGTGGCACTGTCATTCAGATCAACCCCATTCTGTCCTACAAGGGGCACTAACCCTGGCTTCTCTGGGAGTCTCAGTCGCTGGTGAAACAGAGCCCCCTCCTCACCTTGGAGTAGTTCTTGCAGTGGTTTCTTTTGGAGTCTTCCCTACCTCCCCAGCAGCTCCCCATGGACTCCTACGCATGGAGGGTGGACTCTCCCCTGGCTTGGTTCTGTTCTGGGCCCTTTGTGCCCTACCCCAACATGTCATTCCAACCACACACAGCCAGTTTCCTGCTAAAATCTGTCTCCAGGTGCTCCATTAGCCATTCAAACTCAGCCAGTCCCGGATGGACACCTTTCTGTCCCCACTGTAAAAGTCCTGAGACAGCTGCCTGACTTTTCATCACCCAGCACCTCCGGCAGGTCAGTAGGCCCTGTCACAGAGCCTAGGAAAGCCCATCCCCCGTGTTCTCCACTCCTGCCGTTGGAGTACCTAGGTCATGTGGCATTCAGGACTGGTCTGTAGGACACTATAGGATATTATTTGACCTGTTCTTTAAGAGTGATGCTCAGGCTATCGGGCTATGGTGAGCATCTTCTCAGAGTAGCAAGCTTGGCTAGCCCCAGCAGCCAGTGGCATTCCTTACAGGGGATTCTCATTACTCTCAAAGGACTCTAGGACCAGTCTGACACATCCATGTTTGGAGGCAGCGGGAAGCGAGCAACACCTAGACTGCTTGATTTCAAATTCCCTGCTGTGTGCCCTTGGGAAAAATACTCAGCTATCTTGTTACCTTAGTTTGTCCTCTCTAAAAATTGGGTAAATAATGGCCCTGACTTTAAAGGATTGCCTCAGCTGAATGAGTTAAGCACACAGGAGGAACTCAAAAGACCTTGTGTTTAGTGAATGTTCTAGAACATTACAGCTACTGTTGTTTCACCAGTACACGTGGCTGAGTTTGCCACCCGGCAAGTACAGCAAAGAGCACAACTGTGTGCTCTCGAGACAAAGATTCAAATCCCAGCTCTGCTTTTTTTCTTGTTTTACAACCTTGTACGGGGGGTTGAACAAGAGAGAATGTTTCCAATTGCCGGAGCTGAGTGAGAGGCTCACTTCCCCAGCACACCACACTCCGAGCCCACCTCTGCCCCTCCACACTCTACTTCACACTCCTCAAGAAGACCCATCATTAGACTCATCTCTCCCAACCAAGGTCCTCACATCTCTCAGCTAAGGGGGAGAATGTCCTGATTCCTAGGCGCGGGGTCCGCGCAGGCCACCTGCTGTTTTCTTCCTCAGCACCTGCCTGTGCCTGCTGCCTCCCTCCCGCAGCTGCTCCACAGCTGAAACTTTGTTCCTAACTTAGAGCCTGTGCCTGCTCCCCCTTAGCTCTCCGGTGCAGCCCCCCGTCCCCCCCCCCCCCCCAGTGCATGGCCTTACCCTAAAGCAGCCTTAGCCTTTGTGTTGCCCTCCAATCCCAAATCAGGTAGCTCTCTCTGGGCAGGAGTCCTTGACATAGCCAAAAAGGGAACTAAAACCAGATTACCAGGATTTTGTTTGGCCCTCAGAGGTTTTTCTTCTATATTATCTGTAATTAAATGTCTGCGTCCTTAAGCAGGGCTGGCTCCCAGGTTTCCTCCAGGCCCTTCTCTCTCCACTGTTCCACCCTGGACTCCATTCCTTGCTTGCCTCAGTACCGTTGCTGTTGCCAAGTTACAGTTAAACCCCACCTGCACCTGACTAATGAGCCCCTCCGACATCATTTCCCTCCCCCTCACCTCCACCCGACACTTTATCAAACTTCTATTTTCCCCACACCCCTACTTCCTGTTTTGCTGTTTCCTCTGCCCAAGTACCTATTCCTATAGCCCCCTGGATCCCTCCCCATCATCAGTTATCACCAATGCTGGTCTTCACCCTTTCATTCCCCCCTCGCTATGCCCTCTCCTGTCGGGGCCTCTCATCGCTGCAGCCCGGTAGCTCCTGGAGGGCAGGTCTTGTTGGGAAGGGAGTCTGTCTGAAATCCCTGCTCCAGGGGAGCCCTCTTTGACCCTACACTCAAGCACCCTTAAGACTCAGATGCTGGCTCGGGTGCCTGCTCACGCTTGGGCGCAGCTCTTCACCAATCTGCTTCCGTGTCACCTCCTGGGGTCTCTTACCCCGCAGTAGAGGGGCAAAGGTGGGACAGAAATCTAGAGCTGGGAGGGAGAAGGCATGCTGTTCAATTCTTGCTCAGTCATTTGCACGCCTGGAATAACCGATTTTCCTTGAGCCCATCTTCCCCTGGGGAACGTGAGGCTCAGCACCACCAGTCCCCACCCCCGGGGGGGGGGGTGGCTCTGAGTCTGAATAGGACACACCTTGGCCAGGGAACCACCTGTGGCAAAGTGGGATCCAGAGCCACAGCTATGACTTGCACAGGCTCCAAGGCATGGGGAAGTCGGGTTCAACAGAGACCTCAGTTCTCACCTCTGCCTGAGGTGCTCTATTGAGTGAAAGGAAGAAGGGGAAGAAAGGATGAGGAAGGGTGTGGCGGCCAGTGACACTCCCAACCAAGGAGGTCTGGCTTCAGTGTGTCATTGTTAGGAAGTGGCTCCGAGGGAGCTGCTGAAGACACCACTGAGGAAGCCATCTCAAGTTTCCTGATCCAGCTGTTACAGGCAACCAACCCATATTCTTACTCTACCCTCAACATCTCTGCCCCCTGCGTCAAATGCTATTTCCGTTTTCCAGGTGAGGAGCCCAAGAGAAGCTGCGGAGCGGGAAAGTGGCAGAGATGGCATTAGAAGGCATTTGCCTGTCAACTGCAGAACCTGGAGATGCCACTCTGGCTGGCCTCACACTCCCTGTGTAGACCTGGCTGACCTCTAACTTCCAGGGATCCACCTGCCTCTGCCTTCCAAGCACCGGTATTAAAGGCATATGTCACTGCACCCAGCCTTGCCAATTCCATTATAAATAGAGAGCTGAGGTCCAGGACTTGTAGCCCTTGGGTACAGGTGGGCAAGGCCAATGGAGGTGAGGCCCAGTGACTCCCTTCAGGCTGAGACAGCTCCACAGGGTTGTCCCCAGGACTTGGCCCTTCTATGATGTACCCCTGCCCTGCCATCCATGACCCTGAGTTGGACACCAGGGACGTGACACATGAGCGTCTTATAAGTCTCTTTGCCAGTGTTTGTTGGGGGACCAGCACTGAGTTTCCAGAAAGAGAACAATGACTAACTCGAAGTTAAACGAATAGACTCCCTCAGGGTGTGTCCATCCACAGCAGCCTATGTTTTCCTATATGCACATCCCCTCTCTAGCTTGTGACTCCCACTCTAGCTTGCATTCCCTTTAAGGACCAACCATCTCTACAGTGTTGGAAGTTGATGGAGAAGATGGTTTCCTTGCCAGGCTTTCTCCATCCCTGACCTAAGCTCAATTTTCCCAGTAGACCTCATTCATGTCTTTTGTGCCTCACTAAACTGTGGCAAACTGTGGCTAACTGTGGGCTGCTTGGGGGACTGGGACTTGGGTCGTAAGTGCTAAGCCTGGGACAACCCAAAGCAGCCCTGAGTGAATGAGTGAGTGCATAAATGAAGTGGCAGCTGGTAATGTGTGAAGACTCCTCTGGGAGGGGCTAAGAGCTCTCTCTGAGTGACAGGTCTCCTTTCAGCTGCTTGACAAGCTGAATGTCAGAAGGATAAGGCTGGTGACAGCAGGGACTGTTGGAGGATGGGAAGGGACCAGAGCTAGACAGCGGGTATGTGCAAATGACCCTTATACTCAACAACATGCCAGTTGTGTTCCTCCGAGCCAACCCCAAGAGGTAACAAGCAGACACCTCTCCATCCACATCTACACCATAGTCACCAATGCTTGCCTTCCTGTCCCTGCTCCAGCCAAGTATGGCCTCATAAAGCTGCCCATTGTTCAGCAAGTAGACATCTGTGAACCATGAGGTCTCTGGAGCCGTACAGAGAGTTCAGAACTAATCAGAAAGATGAGATAAACGTGTGACATTTACTGAGAGGATCAGGGCAGCTGTGGGCTTGGCAGGACCGGGGGCAGAGCTTGTTCCACTCTCTTTACTCTGAATGACTTTTGGATAGAGAAGCTGACACCGGGCGGACAGGCTGGGTCTGTCTCCAGCCCCCTCAGCCGGCCTCAGCTCTGGGTTCTGTCTCAGCTCTGGGTTCTGTCTCAGAAGCATCAACCCGGCTATTCTTTTGGGGTGGACTTGGGCTATTCCTCCTTGGCTCTGTGGCCAGGATACCTAGGGAAGAGCAAGCCAAGTGCCATGGCCACTCAGCGTGGGAGTGCAGGGCAGACAGGCTCTCCTTGGACTTTTCTTGAGTTGGTAGTAGTGGAAGACGTAGGATGTTGACAGTAAAGGGCTGCTGGACAAGAGATGGAGACTGGCCGGACAGTGGTGGGGCACGTCTTTAACCCCAGTACTCAGGAGGCAGAGGCAGGTGGATCTCTGTGAGTTTGATGCCAGCCTGGTCTACAGAGCGAGTTTTGGGATAGGCTTCAAAGCTACACAGAGAAACCCTGCCTCGAAAAACAAAACAAAACCAAGAGATGGAGACTGATCTTGGGAACTGGAAAGTAGGGGTGGGACCTGGGGTGGCTCAGCTGTTTAGTGAGGCTTAAAATTCTTAGAGAGGGGCTGAAAATAGAGGGACTTTGAGCTGGCATTCCTGCAGCCTTCACAGTGCTTCAAGGGTCCCAGATTCATCGTGCCGCTTAGTCAACTGGACTTTGATCCATTCCAATTGCATTTCACAGATGACAAAATAGGAAAGGACCTTTCTTGGGAAGGGACAAGAGAGCTAGAACTGGATCCCAGGTCACTCTGGACCCACAGGCTACTAGGCTGGACCCTTAGGACAGGGACTATCAGGATACTGTTTGGTCTCCCTGGGATTGTTCAGTGACTCTTCCAGGTGGGCCAGGTCCCTGATGAGAAAAGGGAGGCTCAGCGCAGCCTGTCCCGTTTGCTGAGTGAGTGAGGAGCGCCAGGAGTTAGGGGCAGCTCTATTCAGAGTTAAATAGCCTGGAGAAAGTATAAGGGGTTAGCTGCGGCCTGGGGTGCCCAAGTCTCAGCTACACACCCCTCCTTCCTGGAAGCTAGGGATAGGACAGGCAGGGCCGTTCATCATGTCCCATCCTGTGCAGCCCAAAGAAGACAGTTCTGGCAGGACGCCTCTGGAGCAGGTTGACATAGTGGCCCAGCAAGGGCTGCCCTTAACCTTATCTCGGGCGCCTAGAGCATGGCGTGAGGAGAGGAACACTGAGACCAAAGGCCTAGGGGCTTGAGCACTTGTAAGAGTGAGCGAGGGGAACCTGAGCCTGTGCTCAGTGTGCTCTGGGCTAATCCCTAGGGTTGCACCAGACTCCTAGCAGGGCATCTGGAAGGGTCCTGGGGTGACAGCACCAGGTCCCACTCTCAGCCGCTATCTGTACCCAACTTCTCCAGCCTGCTGGCAGCCCCTGAGCTCAACCCTGCCGGTGTGCCTCCTAGACTCCACCCTGGGTGTACCCACCCCCTCCTTGTGGCTCTGGCTCAGAGCCCACACTCACCATGCGCCCGTTGGGGACACCCAAGTGCTTGGGCTTCCCTGGCATACCTCCGCTGATCACAGGTCCCCGCCACGGGGGGCCACCCACCACAAGGATTGTGGAAGCACAGATCAGAGCTCTCGGGGTGGCAGGCAGGCAGTGGAGAGAGCTCGTTCTGCTCCTGCGGGCCCTCACATCCTGAAACACCAGCTCACTACCTCTTTTCTCTGCCACAGGAAGTGTCTCTATAGAAACCAAACCACAGAAAGAAGCAAGGTCTAAGAGAGCGAACGCCTCTTCCTACTCGCATACACACACGTTCACGCACACACACATGCCGCCAACGCACACTTGGTTGCACCCCATGCAAGCACCAACAGACAGCAGGAGCCTCCTTGTGCCTTGTGAGGAGCCTGGAGTGTTGTGCCTCAGTCTTGGAACTCCAAGGTTATATGTCAGCACACAGAAGTGCACGGCCATACAACTAGGCACTTTTGTGCCAGGGTTCCTGGTGACATGGGGACATGCACACTGGGTCCTGGCTATCCATATATGTGCTTTATTCAGCACACACATACCCCTTAACTACTATGTGCCAGGCTTATGCATGCTTAGCACCCTCATCCCCAGGCAGTTTGCTCATGGAGACTACTATCCTTGGGCTGTCATCTGATGACCAGATGAGCAAAGGTGTAAACACATTGCATGTGTGACCGTGTATGTGGGCATGCATGGCATGAACTTATAGGTTTTCTTCCACAAGAGCATCTAAAGCTTCAGACATGCACATGTGGAGCTGGATGTGGTGGCACATGCCTGTGATGCCAGCCCTTGGGAGGTAGAGACAGGAGAATTGGGAGGTCAGACTTAGCTCCACGAGAATCTCTCTCTCCCCCCCCCTCTGTATGTGTGTGTGTGTGGGTGTGTACATACATAGTGCCTTGGGTAGGCGCATATGACAGGCACATCCATATACAGGTCTATGTGTACTCAGACACCCCAGGGATCAGCTATGCACACATGTACCAATGCATAGGAGAATGGACCATGTACATCCATGCCAAGGAGGTAAGTCAATCTATACTCATGAACAACTCCCACCTTGGTACAGAACTGTCTTAGTTCAGACTCTATAAGAAGAATACCATGCCCAGAACTAGAGAGACTGAGGCAGTAAAGCCTTAGCTACATAGCTAGCTCCAGATCAGCCAGGACTACATAATGAGACCCTGTCCTGAAACAAACAAATGAACAAATGTTTCTGGAGGGATGGCCCAGTGGTTAAGAACACTGGCTTCCCTTCTAGAGGCCCGGGGTTCCATCCCCAGCACCCATGTGACAGCTCACAACTGCCTGTGACTCCAGCGCCAAAGAATTTGATGCCCTCTTCTGGCCTCTGAGGGTACCAGGTATGTAGGTAGTTCACAGACACATGTGCAGGCAACACAGTTATGCACATAAAAATATCTTACAGTTATAAAGAAAGACTACCTTAGACTGGGTGGCTTAAACACGTTCTTTTCTTACCATTCTGGAGGCTGGCGTGTTCAAGACCAAGGGCTAGTGAGTCCTGGCTTGCAGACGGCCATCTTTTCTCTGTGCACCCTTGTGGGAGTCCTGGCTTGCAGACGGCCATCTCTTTGCTGTGCTCACATGAGGCAGAGAACAGAGAGAAAGGAAACATGCTCTTGGCTTATAAAGAACACTCGTCCATCCCAACAGATCAAACCTCTGTATGATATACTTTCTGTCCAAAGGCCCCCATTTCCAATATTTCCAAATACTAAAAAATGAGTGGTTAGCTTTTCAACATGTGTGAAGGGAAGCATTCTTTGAAAGGAGTTTCTTTTGCTAATTTATTATTATTGTGTGTGTGGGTGCATGTCCATGTTGTGGCATAGAAGTCAGAGGATGACTTCCAGGAGGTGGCTCTCTCCTCGCAACCATTGGGTTCTGGGGATAAAACTCAGATCATCAGGCACCCTTACCTGCTGGGTCATCTCATTGGCCCCACCCCAACTTTTTGAGACAAGTGAGAACTACATGTTTTAGAGGTTTCTTTTATATGTTATTAGTGTCGTTGTTATTGTTACTGTTATCATTATTATTACGTGTGTGTAGGTGCCAGTGCATGAGGAGACCCAAAGTATCTGATAGCCTGGAGCTGGAATAACAGGCAGTTACTGATGTGGTGTCAGCTGCCTGGTGTGGGTGCTGAGAACTGAACTCAGGCCATCTTCAAGAGCAGTAGACACTCTTACCTGCTGGACCATTTCCAGTCCTGAGGCCTCTCTGTCTCCTAGATGGGCCTCCAACTTCTGGATTCAAGGAATAATTCTGCCTCTGTCTGTCTTTCCGGGCTGGATACAGAAGAAGGTGAGACTCAAGACCAGTGGTTCTCAATCTTCCTAACGCTGCGACCCTTTAACGCAGTTCCTCCTGTTGTGGTGACCCCAAACCATACAATTATTTCATTGCTACTTCTGAACTGTGATTTTGCTGTGGTTATGAATCATAGTGTAAATATCTGATCTGCGGGATATCTGATGCACAAACCTGAAGGGGTCTTGACCCACAGGTTGAGAACTGCTTCCCTAGAGGATGTTGGAGCCGCAAGGAGAAAGAGGCGGGGTCTGAGCATCAGTCCATGCAGGCATCTGTCAACCTGGAACCCCTGTTTTGGATAACTCTGAAAGCCCTCAGAAATGTACTTGGTGCCATTGTACTTAATAGGGTCTATTTGTTGTAGCAGCTAGCACAACCCTCCATAATTTACCTCTTTCTGGCCACGCAGTCCGGATTTTGAAGTGTGTGAGGCTGTGGCTGCTTTACAGGCTGGAGCAGTGACAAAGGTGATCTTCTTACGGTGCTTATGTGTCGTAGAATTTTAAAGATGCATTACGTTTGTTTGCGCTGAGGAACATTTGTTTAATGATGCAAAGATGAGTTCATTCTTTTATGTTACATTTGTTTAAATCTGTGACGCTGTCTAAAAACACCTGATTGGTCTAATAAAGAGCAGCCAATAGCAAGGCAGGCAAAAGGGTAGGCAGGGCTGGCAGGAAGAGAGAGTAAATAGGAGGAGAGATCTGGGGAGAGAGAGCTAGGAGCCAGAGGAGGAGGACTCCTGAGGCCAGCCATCCAGCTACACAGCAAGCCACGGAGTAAGAAGTAAAGAAAAGATACACAGAAATAGAGAACGGTTAAAGCCCAGAGGCAAAAGGTCGATGGGATATTTAAGTTTAAAAAAAAAAAAACTAGCTAGAAATAAGCCAAGGTAAGGCTGGGCTTTTAGAAGAAATAATAAGTCCCTGTGTGATTATTTGGGAGCTGGGTGGTGGGTTCCTCAAAGAGGAAAGAGTACCAAAAAAAAAAAAACAACAACAACAAAACACACACACACACACACACATATGGGCTGAGGATACAGTTCATCTTGTAGAATGCTGTGTAACATGTATGAAGCACTAGTTTCAATCCCCCCAGCAATGCACGAAACTAGGTTTGCCAGTGCACACCTGTAATCCCAGCAACAGAGGAGGATCAGGGAGTTCAAGGTCATCCTCTGTTAAATAACTGATTAAGGCCAGGTAGGCTACGAGGTACCTCGTCTCAATCAAATGAACAAACAAGTACTTACACAGCGCCTCGTTCCTATGATCCCAGCACCCAGGAGCCTGAGGCAGGATTGCCCTGAATTGCCAGTCTGGGCTACTAAAGTGCTAGTGGTAGCTCACGAACACAGTGCTTGTGCAGGCGTTTGCAAAGCCCTGGGTTTGATGCCCAGCATTAGAATAAACACGTAAGTGAATAGCATGCCTGTGAGGGAGCTTATGTGACATGACTGAAATCTGTCTGTCTGTTGCATCGTGCACGGGCTTCATCCACTTATCTTGGGGTGCCTTGTAGTTTGCAAGGTCTCCTAACAGGACTTCATTTGGTCTTCGTGGTAATGTTTGAAAGTAATTGGCCCCCATCATCTCATAGGGAGTGGCACTATTAGGAGGTGTGGCTTTGTCGAAGTAGGTGTGGCCTTGTTGGAGAGGAAGTGTGTCACTGTGTAGGGGCGGGCTTTGAGGTTTTCTATGCTCAGGATACTGCCCAGTGTGTCAGTCAACTTCCTGTTGCCTGCAGGATGTAGGACTCTCAGCCATGTCTGCCTGCATGCCACATGCTCCCCATCATGATGGCAATGGACTCAAACTCTGAAACCGTAAGTGAGCCACCCCAATTATGTCTTATCATTTATAAGAGTTGCCATGGTCATGGTGTCTCTTCATAGCAGTAAAAACCCTAACTGAGACAGAAGTTGGTAGCAGGAGTGGGGTATTGCTGTGATAGTCCTGACATACAATGCTTTTGTTTGAAGGAATGTGGACCCTGTGCAATGAAAAGCAGTGGGTTATTTCTCTCCCTCCTCTGGGGGCCTCTACTTGGAGGGGGAGTGGAGGTGGGAGCTAAGGAAGGCACACGGGGGCAGGATGGTGACGACGGCAGACTGGGCTGGCCCTCTTGTTCTCTGCAGGGCCTGAGGGGTGCATGATGGGAGATGCCATTCTGTATATGTTTCTCATACTGGTTAATGAATAAAGCACTGTTGGCCAATAGGAAAGGAAGATAGGAGGGACTAGGAGATGAGGAGGAAAGAGGAAGTAGGAAGGAGGAGTCAAGTGGAGAGCCTGGAGAGAACAGAACCGCCATTCCTCCCCTCTCGGTAAGACCACGTGGAAATACATAGAAATGGGTTAATATTTAAGGCAGAGCTAACCGATAAGAAACAAGTAACTGGCCAACAGCATAATATCAAATACAGAGTCTCTGTGTGTTATTTGGGGCTGGCGCAGTGGCGGGACAAGACCAGGCGGCGGGCGAAAAAACCCTACTCCTTACAGGCGCACGCTGTGCAATGGGGTCTCAGGTGGCAGTGGCTCCAGCAGGAGGGGAACAGCGGGAAATGGGGGGGGGGAGGAGTGGAAGGCTTTAAGCACTGTTTAACCGGCCATACTAGTAGGAGCATGGAAGACAGAGGTGCTAAGAGCTACTTGATCTGGGCTGGAGAGATGGCTCAGTCGTTAAAGGCTAGGCTCACAACCCAAAATACAAGAGTTATTTGATCCTTGGGGTGCGGCTGTCTCAGGAGGTTTCAGAGAATTTTAATGTTGCCTAAAGGTGATATTTTGATGAAGAAAGAGGCTGCTTTTTGCCCTTGTCTTAAGAGTCTGCCAGAAGTTAAAGCAGAGTCTTTTGGGTGAATT